CCCCCAGCTCCTGCGACCCCAGCCCTGGGCCCCCCCACAGCTCTGCCAGTGCCCCTCAATCCCAACCCCCAGCTCCTGCGACCCCAGCCCTGGGATCCCCCACGCACAGCTCTGCCGGTGCCCCTCACTCCTGACCCGCAGCCCCCTGCTATCCCAGCCCCGGACTCCCCCAGCTCCACTGTATCCTGACCTGCAGTATCCACACTTACCCTCGCCTGGGACAATGCTGTGCTGTGGCTTTAGAACGGGGATGTCCCCCAGGGGCTCCAGGGAGACCCAGCTGGTCCAGGGGTGTTAATGCCCAGGGTGGCTCTCTGGGTGCCTGATGCAGCCAGTGGAGATGGGTTGCTGGGTCTTGGTCCAGTCCCTGCTGGGCAGGTGCCCCCAGAGCAGAGCTGTGTGCACCCCTGCCCCACTGGCAGCCTGAGGGGGCCGGAGAGGCTGGGCTCTCCTCTCAGCCGGGACCCATTGGCAGGGGGCAGCAGTAGCAACGGCTGGTGTTTGCAGGTCTGCCCGAGTGGGGTGGGTGGGTGCCAGGAGACCTGCCCCTGCTGGAGCCACCTGCTCCCAGGCAGTGCGTGGGTTAACTGGGCTGTCCTTGCTGTTTTCCAGGCGGTTGCCAAACGGCTCAGGGGCCTTGCCCAGGGCCCCGAGCCCTCCCCTGACCCAGTCCGACCCAAATCTCAATGCCCTTGCGGACGGGGCCGATGGCCACACACCCAGACAAGGTCACAGACGCAACCTGAGTCAGACCCCAGCGCACAGTGCTGAGAACGTCAGTTCCCCAAGCCCAGGTGAGTGCAGCCCAGCTCCCGACACTCCCACAGCAGCACCCAGCCCCGGGCAGGTGGGGGCACCTGTGCCCAGCCAGAGGGACTGACACCCCCTCTCCCGCCGTGGTCAGCCTCTGCGGGTGCCAGGGTGGGATCGGTGCACTCCGGCTGCAGAGCGCTCTGCCCAGAGCTGGGGGAGCAGCGAGCCAGGCGCTCTGGGCACATGCTGGGGGCGCGGCCCATAGACCGAGCACTCAGCCAGCAGCGCCCGTGGGAGGAGATGGGAGACGGAGGCAGGTCAGGGACTCACGCTGCCTTTGCCAACAGGTAAAGCCTGTCCCGCCCCCGGTGACGTGTCCCTCCCCGCGGCACAGAAAACGAGAACGAAGAAAAAGGCCAAGTCCAGCCACTACCGCCGGGAGAAGAAACAGGGAGGTGAGTGTGGGCACGGCACATGGCAGCGCCAGCGGGTCCTTCCTATGGCAGCGAACGCCCCGGCAGCCCAGCCGGTGAGGGAGCTGCCAGCTGTGACGCCCACGGCAATGCCAGCCGGCTTCCGGCTCTTCTGTCTGCCGGGCAGCCGATGGCCCCATTAGTGTAACCCCCGTGTCAGGGCCCTCCTCCCAAGTCACACCAACCCTCCATCAGGGTCTCTTCTGGGAGGGGCACAGCCTGACTGACCTACTGCCACAATTCCCTCTGCTTCTCACACAGATCTGCCACCGCCCCCACTGCCACCGCCCAGCGAGGACCCCGGGGCCTCTGCTCAGCCCCCGGCACCACCACCGGCCTGCGGCGCCTCCTCTCTGGAGAGGGACGTGAGCGGTGCCAGCGCCACAGAGCGGAGAGCTGGCCATCGGACCGCGCCGGGCCAGCACCAGCACCGAGACGGTAACGCCAGCCACCGCCCAACCGCACTGGGGGCATCCCAGCTCACTCTCGCTGGGCTGGGGGCTGGTTCCCAGAGTGCTCCGGGCCCCCCCGTGCAGCACCCACCCGAAACCAGCCACCCTCGGGCACGGACAGGCATGTGCCTGGTGTGGTTCCATTGCGCGTCCTGTGGGCACAGTCTGTACAGCCAGCGCCCTGCCAGCCACACATGGAGCCCGACCCTCCCGATGTCTAGCCCCACAGCTGGCTGCCGGGAGGGCCCACATGGCCCCGGGGCAGGGCTGCGGGGTGGGGCGCTGAGCAGACGCGGTGGCAATGCGGTTCCATGGCAGGGCACTGCGGGTCTCCGAGGTGCCCTGCAGCCAGACTCCAGGGGAGGCCATGGGCATCCAGGCCCCTGCCCAGGAGCTTTGGGCACTGGGTACATTAAAGATCAAACGCCGAGGGGAGGCAGGGCTTAGCCACGGTGCCTGAGCTGCATCTGACCCTGAGCGGCTCCATGGGCCCATCCCCTGCCATGTGCTGCAGGGGGCTCCCTGCAGGGCCCCGTCCCGCCAGGCGCATCCGCTGCGCGTTAGGCAGGGGGATGCGGGAGGCAGCGCCAGTCCCACCCATGCGCCTGCCCCTTCCCTTGCAGCGGAGGAGATCGTCCCGTACAGCAGGCCCACCTTCCTCTCCAGAGGCCAGGTGTCAAGCAACTGCTCCACGACCGGCAGCTCCTCCTCCAGGGGCTCGACGGGGTCCCGGGGCCACGGCTCCGGCCGCAGCAGGACAGCCGGGGACCGGAGTGAGGTGAGCCAAGGCTCGTAACTTGGGGGGCCTGCCGGGCACTGGGGAGCAGGCTGAGGTGGCACCGGGCAGCAACCTGCAGGGACAGTGTCAGGGGAAGGGGTTTCGCTAAGAGGGGCAGGGAGGGCTCGGAACAGGCTGCCTTGGCACCCAGGGGCCTGGCCTGGCCGGGGAGTCTCCTGACAAAGCCAGACGCATTTGGGAGCTTTAACCTTGCCCTGGGGGAGGGAGAAGCCCCATCCACATGGGCCCTGCTGTGCTGCGGGGAGCCCCGGGAGGGGCCCGCTGGCTCGGGGACTGCTGGGTGTTTCTGTGCTGGGCTGGGCATGGCAGGGGGTGTTCCCAATGGATCCCCACCTCAGGGCAGCAGCCCCAAAGGAGTCCTGGGGAGGGGAATGCCTCGCCGGGGCAGGGGAGGACTGGGCCCCACAGAAAGAGCGAGCTTGGATCCCCCCGGCCATGGCTGCCAGCAACAGATGGGGCTGCTGTGGCATTTCTCCGTGGCCAGTGGGACCCGTGCTCTCTGCAGCCAGGGGCGGGGCAGAGGGGCCCAGCCAAGCCGTGCTGTGTCTGGCCCATGCCTGCGAGGTCCTGGTCCCAGCCCTGCTGACGATTTTCTCTCTTTACAGGAGAAGAGATGAAGCCAGCGGCGCTGGCTGAGTGAGCGGACGCAGGCTGAGAGCAGGGCTCTGCCCTGAGATCTGGGCTTTGGTTTGGTTTAATTGATGACACAGTGACTGGAGCCAGGCGGCCCAGTCCCTTGTAAATAGGTGGGGTTGGGAGCGGCAGGCCAGGGCCCAGGCAGGCTGTTTATACCCAGGACACGGGGCTCGTGGGTGAGGCCTGCATGGGCCCGTTCAGTACCAAGCCGGCAGTTCTGCAAAGGAAGGTTTGCGCCCAGCAGGGCATGGGCAGGCAGCTGGGGCAGGACCAGCCCCCAGCCAGGCGCAGAGAGCAGCCCACCCGCACGGCACGCGTTGCCCACGGGGCACTGCCAGCCCAACCAGCCCCTCGTGTGGGCAGGGGTGTTTTTTGGTAGCTAATGAACCCTTTTGTAAAACAACCAATAAAGCTGTTTGTTACCCTGGACGGAGTGACGGGCTTTTCTTATTCGGGGGGGTGGGGACAGGGGAGGACTGGGCCCTGGGTGATGGGCGGCAGCAGGGGGCTGCCCTGGGGCTGGGGGGGGCATGTCCTAGGCCTCAGAATATTCCCCAAACGTGCTTAATGCCACACTGCCAGGCTGGCACCCACTGCTGCGCGGAGCGGGCTCCTTGCCTGCACCGTTAGGCAAAGCTCAGTTTATTGCAAGTGAAAACGTATCAACAATCTTACCTGTTCCCCGCCTGGTGCCATGTACCCGCTAGCCCCTGCCCAGGGCGGCCCCGGGTTAGTTCTGTGTTTCATCCCGGTCACTGCCGGGCTCTGGCCCCCGCAGCAGCTGAGTGAGGGGTCACTTCAAACCCGAGTCACCAACAGGCAGGGACAGGGATCGATGGGGCTGGCAAACGCTTTTTATAAACCCTAAACTGGGGCTTGGCCCGGGGGCTGGACTCAGTGCTCAGAGACGGGGGGGGACAGCCCCAGCAAGGGGGGAGGGACAGCCCAGCCTGGCACTCAGCACCATGGCAGCTCACTACAGGCTGGGGGGGCGTGGGGACTTGGAGCTGAGCAGGCGGGGCGCTTGGGGCACTGTGAGATGCCACGTCTGCCAGGCCACTGCCCCTGCGCTAAGGACAGGCTGCTTGTGACGGCACACGAAGCTCAGGGCAGGGGAGGGGCCTGGCCTCCAACACGCCCATGCCCAGCCCCCTGTGAAGCTGGGCACAAGCTCACCGGAGCAGGAGACGTGCTAGTGCTCTGGGACGGGTCTTGTTCCCCCCTCCCCATCCCGTGCACGTCTCCACTGCACCGTGCTGAGCGCAGCCCTGGCCGTGTCAGCTGAGCCTGCTCAGGGCACGACTGGGGCGCATGGGGGTCAGAGTGCTAGTGCCCCGGCTACACGTGTGTCTGGCGAGTGCAGCTGCCCCGGGGCGATGGCAGAGGGTGGCAGCAGGTCACAGCTTGGCAAGTGCTGAGCCGCGGGGTCTCTGTGTCTCCCCTCGCTGCTGGGACAGCTGTACCTCTGCCTGTGGGGCCAGCATGCCATCCGCTGGCAGTGCCGGGCCGTAGGGCCCGCGCAGGGGGGCGCTGCAGACGCAGTGTTTGCAGGCACCAGAACGTGTTCTGGAGTCCTGGCAAGCCAAAGTCGTTCGGAAGCTGAGGTGTCTAGTGCTGGCCTCCTGCCGCGCTCCCTCCCTCAGCGGCCCATGAGCAAGGAGAGCGGCGCTGACTGTGTCGAAGTCACCAGCGCTCCCAGCGGCACCTGGGAGAAGGTCCCGGGCTGGGGGGCACCCGTGCACTCAGCTGTCTGCTGCTGGTGCTGCTGCGCACAGACTCAGATCCCGGGCAGAGATTCATAGAGTCCAAGGCCAGAAAGGACCATTGTGACCATCTAGACCTCTGAGGCCTCTAGGAGCAGCAGGGCTGTGGGTCACCTCCCCTCCCCCCCCCCCCCCCGGTTACCTCCCTCCCTCCCCACCAGGAATGGGGGGGCAGCAGCAGCAGAGTGAACGTCACCTCCCGAGTCCCACATGCAGCCCTGCCTGTGTGCAAATCCATCCTGCTGCTCTGGGGGTGAGGGGCATAAACGGGAATCTCAAATAGGAGCCGAGAGGGTATCTTACCTCTGTATTTGGCACTGGCGTGACTGTGCTGGCGTCCTGTGTCCAGTTCTGGTGTCCACAGGTCAAGAAGGATGTGGATAAATTGGAGGGGTCAGGGAAGAGCCACTCGAATGATTGAAGGATGAGAAAACTCGCCGCACAGTGACTACTCCTGGGGGCATTCTGCATGAAAAAATTCTGAGCCAAACAATACAAAATGCTGCGCACAATATTTTAAAATTCTGCAACTTTTAGTTGTCAAAATAACACGACATAATCCCACCAGTTTCATTTATTTTCATCGTTTATTTCAAAATACCTGTCAGCAAGTATGTCTGTAACAATACAGACACACACACAAATTCCCCCAGGAGTAGAGAGTTAAAGAAACCCCTATGACAACCCAGTTCCTGTTTCTCTGCCCCCTCCCCCACTTCCCCAGAGCCCAGCCGGGGGGGCCAGACACCCACAATCCACCCCCCCCCCCCAAGTCCAGCTGCACCCAAACCCCCTCTTCCCCAGAACCCAGCTGTGGGACCCCTCCAGCCCAGATACCTGCACCCCCACCCCCTGAGCCCAGCTGTGGCCCCCCAGCCCAGACACCCCCTGCCCCCCAAGCCCATGGATTCAAAGGGAGAAACAGCCTGACACTCAGTACCAGGCTTGCAATTGCACCTGTGCGCCTCCCTCAGGGCATGCTGGGAACTGCAGCTGGCAGGAACCCTCTAGCTTCCTCCCCCTCCCCTGCCCGGCACTGTCTTCTTTGCGCGAGCTGGGCTCTGCTGGGTCCAGCGGCCCCTAGTGGTGGCCAGCAGCACTACAGCCCATTTCTGTGGGGGGAAGGAAATTCTGCACGCACGGTAATTTCTGCAAAATTTTGCATTGCGCAGTGGTGCAGAATTCCCCCAGGAGTAAGTGATGGACTCAAGGAGCTCGGGCTAGTTAGCTTAACAAAGTTATGATATTGGAGGGGGCGGAGTTGGGGCGGGGACTTTGGGGAAGGGGTGGAGTTGGGGCGTGGGCGGGACTGGGGGCGGGGCCGGGGCCCCGTGGAGTGTCCTCTTTTTGGACACTCAAAATATGGTAACCCTAACTCAATGCTTTTTTTGCCTCAGTCTTCACAGACAAGGTCAGCTCCCAGACTGCTACACTGGGCAGCACAGTATGGGGAGGAGGTGAGCAGCCCTCAGTGGGAAAAGGCAAATGTAGTGCCCATCTTTAAAAAAGGGAAGAAGGAGAATCTGGGGAACTACAGACCAGTTGGCCTCACCTCAGACCCTGGAAAAATAATGGAATCCATTTTGAAGCACTTGGAGAAGAGGAAGGTGATCAGGAACAGTCAACATGGATTCACCAAGGGCAAGTCATGCCTGACCAACCTGATTGCCTTCTATGATGAGATAACTGGCGCTGTGGATATGTGGAAAGCGGTGGATGTGATATAACTTGACTTTAGCAAAGCTTTTGATATGGTTTCCCACAGTATTCTTGCCAGCAAGTTAAAAAAGTATGGATTGGATGAATGGACTATAAAGTGGATAGAAACCTGGCTAAATCGTCAGGCTCAATGGGTAGTGATCAACAGCTCGATGTCTAGTTGGCAGCTGGTATCAAGCGGAGTGCCCCAAGGGTCGGTCCTGGGACCGGTTTCTTTCAACATCTTCATTAATGATCTAGATGATGGGATGGATTGCACCCTCAGAAAGTTCACAGATGACACTAAGCTGGGGGAAGAGGTAGATACACTGGAGGGTAGGGATAAGGTCTAGAGTGACCTAGATGGATTGGGCAAAAATTTTTTGATGAGGTTCATTCAACAAGGACAAGTGCAGAGTCCTGCACTTAGAACGGAAGAATCCCATGCACCGCTACAGACTGGGGACCGACTGGCTAAGCAGCAGTTCTGCAGAAAAGAACCTGGGGATTACAGTGGACGAGAAGCTGGATATGAATCAACAGTGTGCCCTTGTTGCCAAGAAGGCTAACGGTATATTGGACTGCATTAGTAGGAGCATTGCCAGCAGACCATGGGAAGTGATTATTTCCCTCTATTCGGCACTGGTGAGGCCACATCTGGAGTACTGCGTGCAGTTTTGGGCCTCCCACTACAGAAAGGATGTGGACAAATTGGAGAGTCCAGTGGAAGGCAACGAAAATGATTAGGGAGCTGGGGCACATGACTTATGAGTAGAGGCTGAGGGAACTGGACTTATTTAGTCTGCAGAAGAGAAGAGTGAGGGGGGATTTGATAGCAGCCTTCAACTACCTGAAGGGGGATTCCAAAGAGGATGGATCTAGACTGTTCTCAGTGGTGGCAGATGACAGAACAAGGAGTAATGGTCTCAAGTTGCAGTGGGGGAGGATTAGGTTGGATATTAGGAAACACTATTTCACTAGGAGGGTGGTGAAGCCCTGGAATGGGTTACCTAGGGAGGTGGTGGAATCTCCTTCCTTAGAAGTTTTTAAGGTCAGGCTTGACAAAGCCCTGGCTGGGATGATTTAGTTGGGGATTGGTCCTGCTTTGAGCAGGGGGTTGGACTAGATGACCTCCTGAGGTCCCTTCCAACCCTGATATTCTATGATTTTATGACTTGATCACAGCTTATAAGTACGTATATGGGGAACAAATATTGACTAAGGGGCTCTTCAATGTAGCAGGGAAAGGTCTAACTCGGTCCATGGCTGGAAGTTGAAGCTAGACTAAGTCAGACTAGAAATAAGGGGTACATTTTTGACAGTGAGTAATTTCCCAAGGGTTGTGGTGGATTCTCCATCACAGGCAATGTTTAAATCCACATTGGCTGTTATTCCAAATGCTCTGCTCCAGGCATTATTGTGGGACAGGTCTTTGACCTGTGCTATGCAGGGGACCAGACCAGATGGTCATAATGGTCCTTTCTGGCCTTGGAATCTATGAATCTCTGCCCGGCTGCCCCGTGCCAGGTGGTGAGTCTGGCCCTGCAGTCCAAGAAGGGGAATCATAAACTCACAGGACCCTGCACTCGTAGCAGGACTAAGTATTATCTAGACCATCCATGGCAGGTGTTTGTCCAACCTGCTCTTAAAACTTTCCAGTGACAGAGATTCCACAACCTCTCTAGGCAATTTATTCCAGTGCTTAACCACTCTGACAGGAAGTTTTTCCTAATGTCCTAAACCGCCCTTGCTGCAATTCAAGCCCATTGCTTCTTGTCCTAGCCTCAGAGGTTAAAGAGAACAATTTTTCTCTGGCTTCCTTGTAACAACCTTGTATGTACTTGAAAACTGTTATCATGTCCCCTCTCAGTCTTCTCTTCTCCAGACTAAACAAACCCACTTCTTTCAATCTTCCCTCATAGGTCATGTTTTCTAGACCTTTAATC